ATCAGATCTGGATTCTGGAGGTGTATCTCTTAAGTGGGCCAATCTCATCACCGTCACCTTCACCCTGCCTGCCGTGTCCATAAAGGCAGGTGACTGGGCAGGTGACACCACGTGAGGCGACTGTGCCGGTGACACCACGTGCGGCGCGGCCGGCACAGCCGCGTGAGGCGACTGCAGCGGAGGCACCACATGAGGACTTTGCATGGCTGGCACCACTTGTGGCTGATGTCCTGTTGATACGGATGAGAAATGATGAGAGGTCAAACTCTTGTTCTGGAAGGGTGGGGTGGCTGACTCAATGGCTCAAACAGGGGTGGTATGAACTAAGGATTACATGATCAATGGTTGCTTCTCTTGCTTTCAGTTGGGACCGTTGTCCTTGTGGTGTTCTCACTTAAGTAAAACGAGTACATCCCATTTACGACATATTGTTGTAGTTGTAGTGAATATCTCAAAGCTGACCTCTGGTCAAAAAAGCCAGGTGGAAACTCTTTTCCTATGCATCTTTGGTTGCAAAGCAAGATTCGACCGGAAAGCTGAAACCGCTTGTTTGGATGCACACTCTTGTAAATGTTGTAAAGACTTTTTGGAGAGGATTGCAAACGGGTGAAAAACAAACTGTTTGATCATCTGCAAGAGGAAGGAATCACACTCTTGTGGAAGTCCGTATTTCATTCGGTGGGGTTGCTGGGATCCAAATCCAGCTTGAGTGAGGAACTACGAAACATGGAGCACTGCATGCGACTCCTAGAATCATCACTGTTCTCCCAGTGCAAAAGGAGGGCACCGAAGTCATCTCTCCTAGGTAAATACACAAGACACAAACTGAAACATGGACTGCTGTTCTGGCGCTGTCTGCATGTGTTTCCTGTGTGTGTGATGTTGTGCTGCCTGACTAGCCAACATGCACCTGAACCAAGTCTCTCTCCCAACAAGAGCAAGACATTCAAGAAAGCAACACATCATAAGCCCACGCAAAGATATTCCCCAACAATGCCTACGCGAGCCTACGCCCCCAAGCGAATTTGCTTACGCAAGCAATCCACAGGTCAACCTCCATACAAATCTGTTCATGTACAATCAAACTCAGAACAGCGATAAACTCACCGGCTCACACTCAAGCAAACACATCTATTGAACTAAAGAAAAAATGGAACTCAGTCTCAACAAAAACATTGGACCATGGGCGCTTGCTTAAAAGCAAGCTTCAGTGAAAGCTTCTGCGAAGGCTTCAGGAAGGACTGGACAAATCCCCCACGACCGGACTCTTCAGTTGGCCCATGGTCCTTGTCTCACCGCCGGCACCACCACCGGCGCCGCGCTCAGCGCCGTGGGTCCACCTGCCACGGGGCCGCAGTACCGGTATCGACCGGCCAAGCAGAACACAAGGCCACCGATGGCTGAGAGGACAATGGCACCGATGTCAGCCCACCCAGTCCCCATGGTTTCGGTTCACAAACATAGAGGAATCTGTTCATTTGACCCGGGGTCTGGCCCTGGGTGCCCGAGTTTTGACCCACTGCCACATGCAATTCTGACGGTTGGAGTGATGGGAGACAAGTGAACCCTGTGGGTGAAGTGATGTGACATGCCTCACTGCGGGCTCACACAGACTGGATCCTCAGGACTGGCTGCGACGAACGGGTGCGACGAACGGGCCCCATCCAGCTCCGGCGGTGAAACACAGGGCCTGCTTTGGGAGGTACCTGGACGCAGAAGGAGAGAGCGCGAGAGAGAGAGAGAGAGAAAGAACAGTCAGTAGAGCACCTGTCTCTTGAATACATTTGAATACTATATACTTTATAGTAGGTATATAATTAATCCATGGTTGAGACAGGTTACATGCAGGTGAACCAAGCAGGTAGTGCCTGCAGAAGTATTGCTGGTTGAGGGTGACAGCCAAAAGTACATTGAGAAAAACAAACAAAACAGAACAGTCAGTGAGTCGAGTAGTTTCTAAACGTCTCCTGCTGAAAGTCCCCTTTCAACATGTCTTGGGCACAATACCTATATGATCCTATATGTATATAGATATGGTCGGAACAAGGCAGGTTCCAAAGCTGTGGGTCTGACAAGACTACTTGCTTGTTGCACGCAGCCATTCCCATCAAAAAAATCTGATGGGAACTATAAATCATACATAAAAATCATATCACATTGTTTACTTGCGTTTCCTTGTCTGAGGTCATCTATTTTTTTTGGATGGGTTTTGGTCTATGTCAATGTCCATTTTTCCACAGTTCTTTAAGAGGTCTCCCTATTTCCCAAACACTCCATGGGACTGCCATAAAATTGCATCCATGAAGGGGTGGTTTGAACAGTTTCTGCAAGGGGCGGCATAGTCCTTCCAGTCCAATGGAAGGCTATGGGTTTTTCATGCCCCCTGCCACCAGATGAGACCTCGCCCGATCTCTCGATCTCTCAGGTCTCACTGGAGCCGCGGATCTCGCATCACCATTCAGCCGCTGCAGCACCTCAAAACACTCCACTCAACCGGGGATGGTCTGAGGATTGGGTGGATGGGCACCTGTCACTGAGTGTCACTGGGTGCGAAAAGGGGCTTGGAAGAATTCACCCAAACGAAGAACGCTGTTCGTTGTGCATTTGGAGACACACACTGCGTGAAATGGCATGGCATGGCCCCGAAAGGATAGCCATTTTCCACAAACAGGTATATAGTCAGTCATTGAGATCTAGAACGCAAACACATGGGATTTGATGTCCCAATCGCACATGCCGGAATGGGGCACCAGTTGTTTCCGTAGCGTATGTCACGGTGTCTCATGAACCCAAAGGTCATGGTTAACGTCTGTGCGCGCGTGTGTCTGAGAACTTCTGATTGACTTGCTGTGGCTAGCTGTCTTCATCTCCAAATTAACAAACAACAACAACTCCTGGACAAAATCGAAAAGGGTTGGTCCTGCCACTGGGCAGTTCTGAGTGTTCAATGCAGCGTACTTCTGGAAAATCCGCCCGCACCGCTTGTCGGTGCAGGGCGTGCTATTGGGGCTCTTAAGCTCTGCTGCTATGCAAAAGGCCCTTTTTGTTCGCATCGTTGGGCTGCAGGGCCACTGGGGAGAGCGCTTTGGAGGTACATTTTTGGATGATTTTTCGTTACGTCGTGCTTGCAGGGCCACTGGGGAGAGCGTTTTGGAGGAGTTTTGTGTTTTGGGGTGGTTGCTGCGTTGATTCTTGCTCGACCTGCAGGGCCACTAAGGAGAGCGTTTTGGAGGTGTATTTTTGGATGGCTTTTGGCAATGCCGAAGTTGTATCACCACTATGGGCTCCAAGGTGGATGAAATTGGCCCTAAGATGGCTCCAACGCAGCCGTAAGACAGCCAACCTGGCGCCTAGATGGCTACTTCCATTTCACTAACTTCGGCTGTTCGTGCGCGGTGTGGGCGGCTGTCGACGCGAAGCGTCTTGAATATCCAACCCTGTCAAACCATTTGGGCCCTCATTCACCATGCAGCGAACGACCTTCCAGGTAGGTCAACCAAGATATCAACAGATTTGTCAATGCATGATACTTCCAAGGCAAATCTACACTCTACACAAAATGAAGTGCAGTATGGCCCGAATTTGTTCGCCTCAGCCTTCAGCAAGGCCAAGAGCTTTCGCTGCTCTAGCGGCGTGGCATCCGGCGGGAGCTGCTGCGCTGCCAGCGCCTGGAGCTTCGGAACAAATCAAACCATCCCACCGGTCCCAGGTTTAGTTCCCAGTTCGTTTCATGGCGAAAAATAAATTCACAAACATCCGAGGTGATTGAGACTGCTTTGGAGACTGGGGGTGAGAAGGTTGGGTTCCAACACCCCAAAGAAAAAGGCAATGAACTCAAAAGTGTCTACGATTGCAGCAAAAACAAAACAAAGAGTCCGAATCCCTTTTCAATAACGTATGCAGGTTCTTACCAGTCGGCACAACACACAGTCAGCACTAGGAGTACAGTCAGCATCATCAATCCCGAACCGAGCCCTTCTGGTCTCTCCCCTGGATGATTCCAATCACCAAGTGCCAGATTGGCCAAGCTCCTGTAGATTAGACATAGACAAAATGTCAGGAATTCCAAGCCCTTGTGAGTGGGACCCCTACATGTAACTCTTTTAGAACTAGAACTTGGAACAAAGGACTTCGCTACGAACGGAGCAAGAAGCTACTGCAGCTACTATAGGGGCGCTCCTGGCAGCATTACGAACAAGAGGACGCTACGAAGGGTCCGTCCCGACGAGCTCAGGGCCACCGGCCTCAGCCTCCATATCCAGCTCTTCAGGCGTCAACATGGCACAGTCGAACCCGCCCGGTCCATTGGGACCAAGTGGACCAACAGACCGGTGGATGGGATGGTGATGGGTGTGGGGAGCTGTGTCACTGTGGGGGGCCATGCGAGCATCATGTGTGTGCATATGCGTGCCATAGATGCCATAGAGATCTAAAGAGCGTAAGTATAACTACTATATGTATAACTAACCCTTGCCTCATGTATTTGCGTGCAAGTTGGAGCCAACTAGCCTGAAACACCAGCTGGGTGCATCTGGGTGCGCCGCACAACCCTCATGATCGGGGCTCCTCGACTTGCCTTTCGACCCGCTGGCTAGATCTTTTGCGGAGGCGAAACTGGGCCAAGCTAGCAGCAATCGATCTGTTTTGAGCGAGCCCAGCGGCTGCGCACGCTTGGCTCGATGTCCGGCAGGTCAAGCCGTTCAGCTTGTGTTCCCCGCTTCTTCCCCCCAAAGGCTGACCGCTTCACGGAGGCTTCACGAAAAAACAATAGAAAGGGAGCAGAGATGTAATGGAATGCAATGGATATGTTCGTTCGGAATGTGCTGAGCCATTCAACGTACCACACAAACAATGTTCAAGCTTTAAATATCATAAAATCTCAAGCACACCTTGAAAACACCCGTACTTCAGAGCCGTATAGTACCGGGCTTTTCAGTCAGACTGCTGGTTCTGCATCCTACTTATAGCGCCCCACGCTAGAAACCGCTCCATGTGGGCACTTCCGGTCCAGCACCTCAGGCGACATGTGAGTCCTCAGTGGCCGGAAACCAACGCGTTAAACCGAGGATCCCCCAGGATGTCTCAGGTGTTTTGGCTTTAAACTGAGCTCTATATCTCTATAGCTCTCTTTGGGGCTTTAAGTAGTCACAGCAAAGAACCCTCCCAGGTCCTCCAGAAGAAAAACAGCGAGCCTCGGTTTTGATGTGCTTTTTTCTTCCCGGTATGGAGCGACCCTTTGTCCGCTGTACTGAACACCAAGCGTATAGGCATTGGGCTGAGCCCCAGCGGCAGATCGCGGCAATCCAAACTCCTTCCTCCCGCAATGAAGGATGACAAATCGAGTTGTCAGTGCTTTTTAACATTTGTTTGTTGTACAAACAAATGGTCAGTGCATTGGGGCTCCATGCCTAGGCAACAGTAACACTACATATCACTAGAATACACTAAGATCATACCTGGGTTTGACTCAACTTCGGCCCCAAAGCTGTGGATTTGAGTCCTTTGTTAAGTCCTTGATACTCTGCACAAGACTCCTGAGGGCATCCGCATTTTTTTTGTGGAATTCCGGAATCTGACCTCTCGGGGTGGTGATCAGAGAATTTCTGCACAATCCGCTAAGAACGCAGTGTGCAGTGTTGATGCATATTCGGCATATTGACCTGTAAAATGAGCTGCATGTATTTTCGCAACAACAACAACGACGACGACAACAACACCAGCAGCAGCAGCAGCAGAAAACATAAGCTTCCAAAACTCGTTCAAGGACACGTTCTTGTGTTTGAAGTCACAAGTTAGCAATTGCAGAGTCACACAGGCTTTCTCGGCTTTCTCTCCCGAGAGTGGAAAAATAAGTGGAATGGTTCACCGATTCACAATGAGGAAACGTCTCAAACTCGCCATATAAGCCATACCCAGACACTCCATGTATGCCATATATGGCATACATGGAGTGTATGGTATATATATATATATATGATCAGTGGACTTTGAAACGATCTCTCGCAGCACCACGAAACTGTCGCAAGCTTTTCCGATCTGTATGCCGAGCCATGCCTCTCCCAAACCAAGGATCAGCGTCCCAACCTTCTCCGTGAGCACTTGCTTCGGCCTGGGTTTCAGAAATCAGCTGTGACACCCCTTGTGTCCTCCAACTTCCTCCCCTGTGTGCCGCGAAACAAAAAGAACAACACTGAAAACAACCGCCCGAAAATGGCCATCATGGGGGGCTCCTTCCACCGGGTCACCCCAGCGGGTCCACTCACCTTTCGCATCTTCAAACAAACAAGAACATCAGAACAAGCCAATTGGACACAAAATCGACTCACATCCACTTGAGCCCCAATTAGTAAGGCGCCTGAAGGGACAGGAGAGCCCAAAATCGGAGACCTTCAGAAGCCTCGGCGGTTGGGACTTGGTCGGCCGTTTCGACACGGAGACTAGACGCCAAAAAGGAGGGGCGACGTCCAGCAACGGTCGGATGGGGAGGATGGGGAGAACACCCATCAGCCTACCATAGGTTCAAGCAAGATCACTCTTGAGGATGTCTTCTGGGTTTTGGGTGCAGCTTTGGGGGGTTCAATGCATCAAAAATGTGCTTGTGCTTGTCTTTCAGTATGGCCGCCATGCAAATCGACGTCCTTGGAACATCATCCTCCTAACCACCCACCTACGCGTTGCCAGGCGCTTCGGACTTAGGGGTCCAAGTGACCTGGGACGACGGTGACCTGGGACGACCTCACTAAAGGTATAGTAGTGTGACCGACCTACCAATCTTTACGATATAATACGATATACAGAGAACCCCCAAACAGATAGAAAAGTAGATCCCCACTGAACATGTGGAAACCGTTTCTATGAATTTGATTTCACTTTGGGGATCCCTATGCATAGTTTAACTTAAAGGACCAAACATACACATACACATACTGGAAGAAAAAAGGCAAAAGGTGGCGTCGGCCTCGCGTCGTGTCACTCGCGGCGCGACGACACGTCGACGACACGTCGAGCCCCCGAGCGTCTTGTCCAGGACTTCACCGGTCGAGACCAAGACATTTTCGGCCTCGACGGGTCGACCGTCCGACTCGGCTCGCGACGTGGTTTGAGGGTCGTGAGGTTGATATGATTTGAACATCGGTCGAAGTGGTTGGAAACTTCAGTAGATTTGTTTCTAGATTTGTATGAATTGACATGCCCTTTTGATATTTCTTTAAGTGGGATGAAGGACTTTGACAACCGTGTCCTTACCTAGGGGATCGATACGGGTACTTGTAGTGATCAGAATGTGTTATATATAGCTTCGGGCTATGAGTGGAGCAAACTGACAAGTCTCATCACCTTCAAACATTCTCTTCTACCAGATTCTACTGGCACCCATTTGATGATACTTTATGGCACCTCATGGCACCCCCAAACACGGCCAACCGCGCCCTCCCAATTCGCAACCCACTGTCCGACCTTGAGATCCCTGTGGCAGATCCAATTCCTGGGGCAACGATTTGCGCGTCCCAGTCGTGTCCTCTTTGAATGTCCACCGAGGGTCACCAACGTCTCCGAAGGTCACCAATGCTTTTGGCCGCTCAAACAGGTCCAAATGTCGAACAAAAGGTGACATAAAGTGACACGATTCATTCATAGTATCCCAGACACGACCCATGGGACTGCCATATATGCCTACATTGACCCCCAAAACCACCCCAATGTTGGCATATATGGCATACATGGAGTGTCTGGGTATTATATACTTGCAACATGTTTTGGTGGGTGTTCCCTCTTCTGCCCCGCTCGAATCAAGGTGCCTAATCTGCTCCCATTGGCATGCCAGTGAGAATGTGGGCTCCAAGCTGCGTTTGCATCTTTTCTATCTTCTCCAACCATCGACGTGATTCTCTCCAACCAATTCACCAACATGCCATGAAACCAACACCAACCGACGAATCAGCGGTCTGGCCCCGACCGGAACTCACCCAGCCGATCGCTTGGAGCTTCCCGCCGCGTGGGGCGAGCGAGCGCGCGAGCGAGCGAAGGGTGCCTGTGGAGGTAAAAGACAGCGCGAAGGATCTGCCGCATGGCCATGGCCGTGTGCTCCTGGCGGTCTCCGTGGAGACAAGGGGGGCGGTGCTTCGCTGGTCAAGCTGGGATTCGGGAACGTGTTCCAACTGCGAGCTGCTGAGAGAGGAGCTCTTTGCCGGAAGAAGCTGTCAAGTCCGTTCCAAACACAAATCCTTCATCTTCATGAGGATGCAGTTCGACAAAAATGAAGGCAACATCCGTGAAACTGCTGAATTCTTCCAATCAATGTTCCAGGAGGGAAACATCCTCCTGCCCCCATGTTCAAGTGGTCAGTGTGTCCTTTTTCCTGCCAAAAGCACCCTTGCAAGCGGAATTCTCTGATCTAAAGCCCTTTTGACTTTCACACTGCGTGAGCCACCTGAGATCGGTGACCAAAAAGCCACCTGCACCACCTGCCCCACCTGGGACCTGCCGGTTCCCCGCCGGTTCCCGAGCGGGTCACCCCCGGTCCCGTCCTCGCTAAAGTGCCCCGAGAACTTCAAACGGCTCAGCAAAGAACCTGTGCCCCCAACCGGGCGGTTTTGGACCAAACATTGGGCAGTTCCATGCGCGAAATCGGACCTCACCATATGAAACCTGCAGAAATCCTCCCTTTGAGCTATATAATCACTCCTTAGGAGCCTCATTCCCTTGCGCCCGGCGAACCAGTGACGAGTGATGAGTAAAAAGCTTCATGGCATCTGAGTTCGAGTATGATAGACTGGCAGTTGGGCTGGGTGCACCACCTCTGCACAAAGGACTGCAATTCAAAAAACTTCAATTCCATCTTCGTGATCATCTCGTTCTTCAAACAAATCCTCTTCATTCCTCTTCCAACTGCAGCGTTTTGGTCTCAAATGTCCAAAGATCCAAGACCATCGACTTGTAGCATTCATTCTCAGCCCCCGCAAAAAAAAAGGCACAGGAAGCTCCGGCGCGTTACACCATTCACGCCGCCTCCAGAACACAGCTCCATCACCAGGCAAAGGTACCTGCGCGAAAGCTGGTGGCATACGACATGACATTCACATGACCCAAAGGCCTCACCAACAATGACCAGTCAGGACCCAGTGTCAAAGAAAAAGCGCTAAGAGCGGCTGTTTAAGGGTCCATCGATGTTCCGAACGTTCTTTGACTTCTTCGCCCAGTCTCAGCTACCAGTGGATGAAGTTCGAACGACTCAGTTCGGATGAGGTGCTGTCGGGATGGCGTGGAAGGCAAGGTAGGTGGACAAAAACAGAGAACAGCTGGATGACATGAGAACAGCTGGTTCCGTCCTTGGCCTGTCACATCATCAATCATAATCAACACACATCTCAACACTAATATAGTACACATGGCGGTTGAACATTTGAGCAGTGCTGCAATGCCCCTTGTCTTCCCTATAGTCTACCTACTGCAGCTATTTCTGGTCAAAGAGCCATGATCGTCACCAACAGCAACCCATTACTTCCCCATCATTGCCATCCTTCCCTTTTTCATCCTTCATTCATGATTGTTGTCCATCATTCATCGATATTTCATCGCTCTATATCTTCATCGCTCTGCATCATCGTCCACTCTATCGCACGCGGCGCCGAAGCGCGGCTGAAGCGACCCATCCGGTCGCCGAGGATCGGTGGTCTTGAATCGTGGTGCGCACTGCTGATCCTCAAAGATCTCATAGAGCATGATGATGTTGGGATGATCCACCATCTGGGACGGGTCAAGATGGTCATTCTTTTTCACAGACCCGACTAGTAAAAAAACACGAGTTAACTGAGCGGAGTTTGTCTGGTCTACGACCCACTTCACTGGGTCAGTGGAGTGAAGAATCTGAATGAAGCCAAGCCATAGTGTTGTGTTCATTGGCACGGCAACCATCACCATTTGACCCACCACCATCCTGAAAACAGTCACAGTTTGGTGCGTTCTATCCTTGCAGCATGGTGCTGAGAGCCCCAACTGTTCCGCATTCCAATTTGTGGTCAAAGGCTGGTGAACCCCCGAAGACTCCAACATCTTGGACTTTCACTGTTCAGCTGATCAGCTGATAAGCTTGGGACACTCACGACTGCAACCTACACGACTGCGAACTGGGGTCCTGAAACCCAATGAACTTCTCTTTTCGAACAACCGGGGCCTGTTGGAGGGCATTGGCCGAAACATCTGCATGAATGGCGGTTCAAGACGACCGAAGGTCGTCTGGGTGGTTCAACGACGTGGCCCCGTATGCAGTGGCCCCTACCACTACCACACATGAGTACACATGATGATCATGATGAAAAATCACGTGCGGAACCAGTCCAAGCCATGGTTTTTGCAAACCATGAGATATATATATATATATATATGACGTATTTTTCTGGTGAGGGCAATTTTCAGGCGAAGCTCAAAAAAAACACACAACAAACAGTTTTGGTGTCGATATTTTTTACTTTTGCGTTGTTTTTTGTCTCTTCTGCGTCATTTTGGCGTCATGTTTTCTATCGCGAATTTGCTGCATGTTTCTGCGTCATGTTTTCTGGCGAGACGGGAAAAAAGACATCGTTTCAGGGTCCAGTGGTCCAGGTATATACAGTAATGGGTTCACAAATTAAAGAAAGGAACACATCCGTTTGGGTCCGCTTCTGCAAATTGTTGGGGTAGCTGTAACTGTAAGGCATGTAAGGCAAACCAGCATGCAAATCCGGAAAATCCTAGACATGTTTCCAATTATCTTCCAATTGTCAATTGTCAGTAATCCTTTAGTTTCGGTCCTCACCCCAGCTATGGGTCGTCTTGATTCAACACCCCCACCAAAACGGGGGACCCTATAGTGAAGTTTCTACAGATAGAATATGGACTAATTACAAAAAGCTAATTAGTCTATATTCTATCTCCTGGATCGACATTTTGCCCGGGGCAACAGATAGAATATATATTTATGGAAATCATAGCTTTTATGATGAGTTTTAGACTTAGCCAAACAACGATGACAATCAAAGCTCAAGCATGTGCATGCACAATGTGCATCCAGCAGGTTTATGTAATGATTGTCAAGCAGGTTTTGCACATAGAATTTGGATTCAATCAAAGATAAACTATATGTATTATTGATTTTGAAAATTACCAACAACGATGGCAATCAAAGCTCAAGCATGTGCATGCACAATGTGCATCCAGCAGGTTTAAGTAATGATTTTCAAGCAGGTGTTGCACATAGAATTTGGATTCAGACAGCATTTTGATTGATATGCATGAAAGATAAACTATATGTATTATTGATTTTGGAGACATCATTTTTTAATGATGGATGTTGAACATATCTAAACAACGATGACAATCAAAGCTCAAGCATGTGCATGCACAATGTGCATCCAGCAGGTTTAAGTAATGATTTTCAAGCAGGTGTTGCACATAGAATTTGGATTCAAACAGCATTTTGATTGATATGCATCAAAGATAATATATATGTATTCTTGATTTTGGAGACATCATCATTTTTATGATGAATGTTGAAAATATCTAAACAACGATGACAATCAAAGCTCAAGCATGTGCATGCACAATGTGCATCCAGCAGGTTTAAGTAATGATTTTCAAGCAGGTGCTGCACATAGAATATGTCGTGATGACACAGTTGTGTTAATATACCAGTGCTTTAGCTTCGCGTGGCAATGGCGGGGACCAACATTTCCACGGTGGACATGTGGAACTATGTGAGGGCTGCTGCTGCAGTCACACCTCAGGAGATAGCACGCGAGCGCAAAGCACAGGAGATTTCCAGTGATCCGCAGCCAGAAGCATGTGCTTTTTGCAAGCGCTCTGACCCAAGTGTGTTCTTTTTGCACGCAGTTTGTTTGCTTGGCACTCTTCTTTGCATGTTCAGCGTTTATTTGCAAACTTTGTTCCAAGTTTGTGTGTGACAGCCCAACCAACACCAAACAACACTATGACACTATTGATCCAAACCCATATGTGCCACAAGCATCCATTGGTCTGATTTGCTGTGTTCTTTAAAGTCTTGTTGGTTTTACACCATTGTCTGCAAGCTGAGGTTTGAACTCCAGCTCCAACTGTATGATAGCCCGAGGGTTATATAATGTTACATATGTCTTGCTGAATGTTCTACCTGGTTTGTGCTTTACAATTGAGAAAACCACAAAAGAAACTGGTTTCAATCTGCACAATGTCCTTTTGTTGGTCAACCTGTTTTGTCTTGTTTAGAACATTCTATGTTTGTTCATGTGTCCATTATACTTCATAACAATAAGATCCAACCAAAAAGGAAATCCTTAGGACTTCATATGCTAAAACCATGTGGCTTGAGCGACTCGACCAGATGCAAGAGGAGTGTTGTTCGTTATTCATTTCTATCATAGGAGCACACGTTAAATTCATGTTGTTCTCTCATCGTTCTTGATGATCTTGGTTAGGACAACATGCCCAAAACAAACACACACAAAATCAAGCCGTTATGGTTAAGTAGGTCAGCCCTTGTTTCACCGTAGACCCTTGAATATCATGTGTTATCAACAAACAAGTGAAGCAATCAAGACTAAAAGCATTAGGTCAAATGCAAAAGGATTGATTGTTCCTACTCTTAGCCAGCATGGCACAGGTGATTTCCACCAGCATGTTACTTTGCTTCAAGAAGTGTAGTAGCTAATGTATGAAATCCAGTTTGGGGTACATAGATAGAAAGAGAGGAAGAGGCAATGCAAAAACAGTCCCAAAGTCATGATGGTTAAACATAACAAACGCACGATCACAGTCCTCCATCCTCCAAAAGAAACACATACTGAAATACCTTGCTGGTCAAGCTCCGTCTTTTGGGGGTGCCAATGATGATCCGTCACCAAGCAAGTTTGTTCAGGGCGTGATGTGCTAGGACCTTCATGATCTCAATCTCCTGCTTCAGGACATTGAGCTTCTCCTCGAACCCAGTCTGTGAGAATATGTGTCTAGACTAGGGTTAGGCGGGGGGTTGGGTTAGACACCCAAGACACGAAAACAAGAAGGCTTCCAGTGAGAAAACGTGCAAATCCCAACCGCGGGAAGAAAAAATACATCTATACAACAATCCTGTACCACAAAGTTAGGAGGGACAATCATTTGGGGTGCAAATCATACCAAATTGAATTTACACCATCTATAGTACCCGTTTGGAGAGTGAGTCTTGGAGTTTGGGGACGACATGGGACCCCTTTCGCCAGATCAGGGGGGCAGGACGCACTGAGCCCTTTCGCTTGAGTAGATCCACTCCCAGCATGTTCCAACCGTTCGAACAAGTGGTTCCAACGACGTGCATCTTAAGTTGAGAAACACTTCGAGGGCAGTCGGTAGTTGGTTCCGCGACATGTCCCAAGTGGTTGTACGGTTGTCACGTTGGCCATCCCAAGTTTCACCACAAGATCTCTAGACTGGCCATCCTATCACGATCCAAAACCCTTCGAATCCGCAAAACCCCATTCAATTCAGGATCATGGAATTTTGTATCTCAATGTGTGACTAGGACCAATTGAGCTCACTTCCAGATAGAACTGTATGATGAGGAGTCTCAATGTGAGAGAATTGTTACTGTACAGTAGATGTCCAATATTTTAGTAATTAATTAATACAAGCTCTATATACTGTATGTGTTCAACGTTTCGTTCTTTTCATCGTATGAACCCAATACCATACACGTCACTCTCAATCCGTCCTCATCGAGCTCGGTGTCCGATTCCACGGTGTCTCGGTCCTTCATTCGCTCGATGGCAATGAACTTCACGGCGCGCTGCGCCATGGTGGCAGACACCTGGGCTGCTCGACATCGGGGCCGAAACCAGGTCGGGTGCGGTCGGTGGTTCGTTACTGGTACCACAAGCGGAAACACCATGTTCCGGTCGAAACAAATCCAATGGCTCCAGCATGTTCCAGCATGTTCCAATGTTTCAAAATCCTTTTTGCACAGCCCCCCACCACACACACACACATACACACTTAAACTTAAGTCTAAAATGCCCGGCAAAACATCAACAAAGCTGGCAGTGACGGAGAGATCAAAAGACCGGGTGTGTCGAACCTCCAGGCTATCAACACCTGCGTGTGTTCTTGTTGGGTTTTTATGGTTCTTTCATTTAGCTAAACCCTCACCCAGGGTGGATCAGTCGACGGACTGTTCCTCTTTGAGGGGAGACAATCCATTTCATCTCTAGCCTAGCTTTTTGTGGCAAAACCACTCCATCCAGTTGCCGTGCGGCCAAACCTGGGCGTCTGGATGGGCGTCCGGACGTAGGCGCGCTTCACCACTCCGAAACTTCCCTTCCCCAGGATCTTCCCCTGGTCGTCACGACCCGATCTTCCTCCGTTCGGGTGGGATGGATGGATGGCACCACCATAAATCATAAATGTGTTGATGGATGGATGGATGGATGGATGGATGGATGGATCAACATTTTTCTTGAGTTGCTATCATCAAAAGATCACGTGGATAAAATTCTGTACAACCCTGCCCAAGACTTAAGAGATCGATGAATAAGACTTAGGAGATCGATGGATGGTTTCGGGGCATCACTTCCCCAGGAGAAACACAGCCAGCCGGTACAACCGGAGATGGGCGACCGAGCCTCTTTAAGGAGTTTTGTTTAAATCCTGCCTGAACAATCCCGTTTCCAGCTAACAGGAACCCAACGAGTCATCTGTCGCAAACAAATCCTGCATATGTCGCTGTGTTGTACACTGTACCGGGCCCACCCATGTAGGAGCTATATTACGTAATGAGTAATGAGGAATGACAAGCTGGTGCTTGGGGAATTCAACCGACTGGACGGAAAAAGACGGGACTTGCTTTCCACCACACGGCGGACATCGAGCGTCCGGTGTCCGGTGTCGAGTGGCGAATCGAGATTGATCCAGTCCGACCCGGCGAAACCCGGGTCTTTGACCTCCCAGCAAAAACCGGTGTTTTTTGTGCAACCCCAGAATGAGGTCATTGACCGGGAATAGGTTGATCCAACCTGATCCAACCACCGGTTTCCGACGTTTCTCCAACGGTTGAACGACCTGAACTCAGCTTCCCTTCTTCGACCAATGGCCGTCGAGAGCATCTCGTCCGCGTTTGGAGACGAGCGTCGATCCAGTGACGCCATGGACCAGCAAGGGGAAAATACAAAACACGTCTCCAGGAGTGTGCCAAAGAAGAATAGTAAAAAGAGATGACAGCAATAACAAACATCCAATAGTTGGATATCGAATAGGCCCTCCCATGGGCCCACCCACGGTACCACCAAACGAAAAAAGCTGGAGTTCGTCACACTTCAACGTATTCAATATATAGTTTCAATATATATGTGTCCTCATATACTCAAAATTTTGTGAAGGTGGGTCCTCATATACTCTAAATTGTTTAAACAATTAATATATGTCATGATACTTATTTTGCACCACCTTGACTGTGTTATTGAAATTACTTTTCAACCACCACCTACATGGCTTGCCAAATAGTTTTAGACTTGTTTCCCTAAGTCACTCCCACCTCTAAATAGTTTGCCATGGGAGGGCCTACGATATCGATAAACACAAACATCTATGATGATAATACAATTAAACAGTTCTCGTACTGATCTTGGGGTCATTTGGACCTGTTGCTGCAAACACCGGAAGATCCTAGGTATATCTATAATATTAGGTATAGTAGTAACTATATGGTTGACCTACTTGATAGTTATGTAATGGTTATTATGAATAGTTTCTATTGCTGAAATATACGGCCAACATCTCGCGCTCTCTAACCAAGCGTACGGAAACCCGTGCATTTCCTTCTGGTAAGTGGGTTCAACCATGTTCAACCTAATAGCGATGGCCTCCAACCGAGTAGCGATGGCCTAGCAACCACAAAAAGACCTACATGGAAGGTGGTCCTTAGGTCTTAGGTGCTTCACACTCAGGTCACAGCGCTCGACGCAAGCACCTGCGAACTCTTGAACTGTCCGCATGATTCTAGGCTTTTCACCACCTTTCTTGGCTTGATCCTGCCCCACTGCATTCTCTCATCTTCTCTCACCCCAAAACGTCCCTCTCCTCTTCGTGCACCACCCGTCTCACCCGAACCCGCTAGCTAGCGGTCCTTCCGGGACGCGTCGGCGGAACGCGGAGTCGGACCGCGGAGACGGCATGGTCCCAAACGGAAGAGGTGGGAAGATCGGACCCATGAGACCTCGCTTTTGAAGCCAAGGTGCCCAGCGGAAGAGGATGGAAACGGATGGAAGAGGTATGAAGTCCAGGCTGAAGGGTGGAAAGGAGATGTCTATGAATATCTATGAATTCCTCTTCCAAAGTGTCTGGAGATGTCTGGAAAAAAAAACGCACAGAATTGCCCACATTGATTCTCTAGCTTACCCTCTGATAGCAAGCCTCAAGGACGGGATTTGTAGATCTTCCTGACGTCCACAAGACTTTGGCTGTTATCTTACACACCATGACTACTCGACCAGGGCTGCTTTCTTGTACATTACTAAAACATGCCAAAACCATCCAAAACCAATGAGATAGACTTCCGGGAAAAGGAACCAATTCCTTCAGGATCATTGGCTGATGGTGATTTGCTGCGACCTGCCACCTGCTCCACTCGTGAACCGAGGCGACAAATCTCCAAGTTGGGCTAAATCCATCTGGCCAGGTCCCCAACTCGCTTTGCGAGGGGGCCCTGATATTTTCATGTGGCAGAATCCTTTGCATGCCACCTAAGTGGTTCTGGCTCAAGTTCTTGAATTTTCCCATGCACGCCTGGAACTTCCAAAGGTGAACGGAGAAAAGTACACCAGCATCGTTTTGCTTCATCAGTTTTCGCCCACCCCGGCATCGTTTTTGAGCCAAACCGAGTCATCAGTGCGTGGTGGAAGACAGGCACCAGCTGGGCGTGAATGGGTACGAGCTTGAGTTGTCAAAATTGGAGTGTATACTTATTAGCCTTTGCACACACAAAAAAAAACAAACTGCCTGAGTACGAGTAAAGCACGCTAAACCCACTGCAAATTCTGCTTATGTCACGTCGCAAAACTTGCAACAACATATGGGAATTGTGACAAACTATAAGTTCCAAAATAGGTTCGTTGCATTTATAGTAGACTAAGGCAAGTCCTATAAGTTCTAAATTATATAAGACTACAATACGACTATATATATAATACATTTGCGAATTCTCCGGTCTAATTTGTGTTTCGCCCGACACTTCCACCGTCGCCGTCGAGACGGTCTCGGAGCGCCCGGGAACCGTGAGACAGGGCGAGGTCGGACCAGCTGAAGTGCGGCACCGGACCAGGGGTGTTGATTGGAACTTCATGTCGTGCCGGATTGCAAAGTGACTCCAATTGGGGAAACACGTCCTATTCTATTCTCTTCTGAATGGGGGATGGGTCAAAACCTGGAGCCTTCATCCACCATGTAGCTTGACCTTCTAGGTAGGTCAAAGAAGATATCAACAGATTTGCCAATGTCACATGATACTTCCAAGGCAAATCTACACATACCGCCACAAAATGAAGTGCAGTACTGTATGCACAACGATACAAGCTTACATGGAAGGTATGAGATGCTTTCGTTTATTCGATGCAACTCTTGATCCATATCCAGGACGTTAATCATGACGCCCCATGCTTGGTACCCGTATTGCTTTCATCGTGACATGTCGGCCACGATTGGTTGGAGACACGTCTAATTCGTTTACATACTTCCAACAACGTCTTTTTCACATACATGTTCACCCCCATCAAACCCGGAGCCAGAGTGTTTGAAGGGATGTACCGTGATAGGGAGCGCTCCAAGCTCAAGTCTGCAAGTCGTGTGAGCAAGTCGTGTCCCTGGTTTTGCCCCACAGCCGCAAGTCTCAACTTGTCTCAACTTGTCAGTCCACTTCGGCCGTTTCAGATTTCCTGATCACCCCTGCACCCCCTGAATTGGCCCACCGGCGGTGAGCATCTCATCGGGGGGTGTCAGACAAGTGCTGCCTGCCTCGTTGTTGAGGGGAGGCAAATTGGCGAAGAGTTCGAATACCAGTATGGGTATGCACTTAAATAAGGAGACCCGGAACCAATGGGTCGACTGGTCTGTTTTCCTTCTTCCCTTTTAGGGTCGAACTGGGAGGTCTCCCTATTTTGATACACGCCCGTATGGCCCGAAAACTCATGGGCTCCCAAACCACCCATCGGACAGCCGACTCCGATGAAGTCATCGACGCCATCCGACTCACTCCAATTCAGCAATGAGGCCCTCCTGGTGGACAACATCTCCAGTGGCTGCGACGAAAGAACAAGCTGGCTTTGGTTGACCCTTCCTCGTCGCCGCTGTTTTTGTTCTGTGTTTTTGACCCTGCCTCCATGTTTTCGAACTAAGTCATTCTACTGTAGAGCAGGACGGGGAAGCTGTGTCACCGATGGACAAGAATCCCGTCTTTGCTTCGAAGACAAGGAATGGATGGGGTTCACATGGGAATCTTGTTGATTGAATGTTCTGGATTTGAATATTCTAATCTTCTTGCACCTTCCTGGAGGACCCAAGGGGTGGTATAGATGCCCCTCAACCTCTAAGGGGTTATTACCAGGCACCCCTTGGGCGGCCCTGGAAGAAGTCAAACCCTGTGAGATGAGAACACCAAAATAGCTTGAAATTGGCTGCCTTCTTGCATATGTTCCTCTTCCCGTCGCATTGGCCGGCGTGTCACTGTCACTGTGCCCACCCAAGCTAACACACCCCCAAAAGGCCCAGCTTGGACATGTTCGGCGCTACGTACGATGTTAGCTGCTAAAAACAAAAACACAACGTACCGCTCCTCAGCCGCTTCAATGCTGGTATCGACGGCTGCCTTCAAGGATCTCTGGGTGTGCTTCCGCTTGGCCACCACTACGGCGCCCGCCATCATCAGGAGAGCTGGAAGAAGCAAGCGGACAACATATCGGACAAGCATAGTAAACTCAATTCCGCATCCCAAATCAACTACGACTTGCTCGCGTTTTTGCAAGCAAAGACTTTCCAATGTTGGTTGGTTTATGGATGTTTAATATACAATCTGCTTGTAGACTGCCTACCAAGCTGCCTACCCAAGCTGGGAAGTGCTGGATGGGGCAGGCACCATTTGGCTAGCCGGTTTAAACACCCAGCTAGAAGTCTCAAGCGCAAACAGCTTTGAACCCAAGAAACCACATTGAACCTGAGAAGCGCTTTCGAACAAAACTCATTCCTTAATTCCCACTGACAAAGCAATGTTCTTTTCCACTCTATACACCCCTCTCTCATCCCTGTGCTCCCCAAGAAAAGCCGCCTCCACAAAGGAAGAACATCGGTGC